CTTCTTGCATCTTCATTTTATAAGCAGCTGGTAGTGGCCCTTAGATTGGATCGTTGGTCTTAGCCAACGCAGCAGCTCCTGTGTTTCTCCCCAACAAACTAGCTGTGCAGTTGGGGAAGAGGTTTGTCACGGTCTACTATAGCAGATACTTGGGTTGAAATCCTGGCCAGTGATGCCTTCTATGAGGTCCGGATTTCACTTTGACTGTAGCAACAGCTACTTTGGCCCATGCTATCACTACAGTTGCTGTGCAGGCCTAAGCCTCATGTACAATGCTCTCAGTAGTTTCAGCCAAAGGGATGCCCCTTGCCTCTTTTTACACGATATGGAAGTGTTTAAGCTATAAAGTTGCTTGTTTGTGGACAGATCCCCCCGGGGTAGAGGTGCACAGGCACTGGAGCTTTCAATATGCAGATTCATGATCTTTCTTTTTTGTGTTCAAATTGGAACAAAGGTCAGAAATATAACATTTTCCACAGAACAGCAATGCTGGGAGCAGCATGAAGGTAGATGACTCCGGCCTGGGTTCTAGCTAGGCCCCCAGCTCCCACTGGGACAGGCATTACCCCCGCTGCTGTGTATCTATTTTATCCAGTTAATATTAAATGCAAGATGCAGCGGCCAACTTCAGAAGGACGACTGGCGAGGGGTCTGGGCAATATATAGCCTGACCTGGTGACTGGAGCACTGTTTTGGGAAGCAAGAGATTACAGTATCATACAAAAATAGGACTAGAAGGGACATCAGGAGGTCTTCTGGTCCAGCTCCCTGCTCAAAGCAGAATAAGTTCTGTATAAATCATCCTAGACAAGCGTTTGTGTAAGCTGTTCTTAAAAACTTGGGGAACAAACCATCACACACAACTAGTAATCATATTGCTTGAAACATCAAAAACATCCTTTATCTCAGGTAAAGCAGAGGGATAAGAGTATTGTCCATGTCCTGCCACTGCAAGGGTAGGACCTGGGTCTCCTACTCCCTAAGCAAGTGCCCTAGATACTAGAGAACTAGGCTAAAAGGGAGAAAAGGCCTTTCTCCTCCTCCTCATACTTGCACAGGGTGATTCTGTTTCTCCAGAAAGTATAGCTATGTGCTGCTTGAGCATGTGAAGGGTAAATAGGATCTTGCCCAAAGTGTTTGATCAGTAAAATTAATATTTTGAAAACGATCTTACATAAAAATGTTAGAGAGATTAATCAATTGCTGAGTAGAGGTCATTATTTTTCTAACAGACAGTCCAGAGCTCTATTGATCCAATTTTGAAAACAGGATGTTTGCAGATAAAAGCTAGGGAAAACAGTTTTTTTACAACAAAAATTAATTGAGTGAATGAGTGTGTGTGTGTGCATGCGTTTGTGTTAAGAGTTCTGGACCTAAATCCTGCCCTGATCTATGTTTTTTGCCAGCCCGTGATAGTGAAAGGGAAGACTTTGGCTTTTGGCTTTTAAAATATTTGAAATAGGAATAGAACCCGCAACACCTGCATCCCAACCTGCTGCTCCATCTGCCAGACCCCATTGCCTCCTTGTTTGTTCCCAAAGCAGCACATTGTTTTTTTAGGAGTATTTTTAGAAATCATAGCAATCACAGAAAATTAGGGTTGGAAGGGACTTCAGGAGGTCAACTAGCCCAACCCCCTGCTCAAAGCAGGGCCATCCCCAACTAGATCATCTTATCCAAAGCTTTGTCCAGCTGGGTCTTAAAAATCTCCAAAGATGAAGACTCCACTACCTCTCTCAGTAACCTGTTCCAGTGCTTTACTACCCTCCTAACGAGAAAGTTTTTCCTAATATCTAACTTGAGACCATTGCTCTATTTTTAATTCCTTAGTATAGCAAACGGCTTAGCCAACAGAAAGCAAAACTCTTCCAATCTCTCAACCTACAAAGCACCGGCTTCACAGCGGAAGCATTCTCAATAGAGGGAAGCTTAAGGTGTTAAGGGATTAATGTTGTCATAGAAAAAGATGGCGGAAAGGAGCTTAAGTCTGAGAGCAAAATGCTCCAGAGAGGAAAAGAAAACACAACATTACATGCCACTTCCTTTCAGGGGCCCAGTTCTCCAGTCACTAAATTTGGGGTGGGTAGTATCTGGCTGTACTGTATAAGAATTGGGTACTGCTCCCTTTAAATAGTTTGTCAGCCCTTTGGAGAGTCTCTCTCTGTTTCAGAAGTCCCTGAACCCTGCCAGAACAGCAGCATGGGTATGTGGCAAGACGTTACAGGCTGTCTGCAGTTAAAGACACATTTGTTTCAGCCTGACTGTTATCACTGTGGTTCTTTCCTATCACATCTGTGCACAGAGCAAAAGAGACAGCTTCAGCATTGATGCTTGTTGCAGTGCCCAGCGTGCTCTCTTCTGGTGTTGCAGATCCATTGCAGAACCCACAGAGAAACCAGAGCTAACCAACTGCTGCATAGGAAATGCTAGTTCTCGTTTTCAAGCCTGAAGAGCTACTTTTTTAAAAAAGAAAGTCAAATATAACTTCCGAGAATACACCTTACGTAAAAATGGAACAAAAACAAGGTTCCACGGAGGCTTCGTTCTAAGGGAACACAGCTAGTTTTGCACCTCTCCTGATATAATATCTGACAGACCTGCCAGGGGCTGAATGTGACATGCCATGTGTGATAAATACCAAAAGGAAAGACGAAAGTCATTCAGGCAAGGAACTAAATGTTGTGCCATTGACTCCTGTAATGTAAATGTCTCTATGACAGTTCCCTCTACTTGATAAGGGTCTGTGTCCTTTGCTATTTCATAGATTTCATAGACATCAGGGCTGGAAGGGACCTCGGAAGATCATCGAGTCCAGCCCCCCGCCCAAAGGGCAGGAAGTCAGCTGGGGTCATAGGATCCCAGCAAGATAAGCATCCAGTTTCATCTTGAAGGTGTTCAATGAAGGCGCTAAAGGCAAGATGGTCAGATGGGATCCTTCTGACCTTTACAATCTGAGTCTTTCTGCTGTAAATAGTTTTCTTCAGTAAATGTGAGAAGGCTACAAGTTAAGTTCCTTTAGTGGAGTGTAGAAGTCTGATACCAAATAAAAGCCCTGGACTGTGGCACTGCATTTTCTACTGAACCATTTATGCTACAAAGGAGTGTGGAATGTTCCCTTCCCTCCGTTATTTGGGGCATTCAGCATGTTTCTGAAGCATCTGGATTTCCCCTGCTCCCTCCTCTCACCCCCCAACCCTGAGCTATTTACAGTTCCCTTTTAAGCACAAATAACACTTTCTGTAACCTCAGTTTCCTGATTCAGCTGTTGTGATGTCAGTTATTTACGATAACACAAGTAAGACAAAGCCTGAGGTTTGTGTGGGATGGAGGTAAATTTGGGCCTGTCAGAAGGGACAGTCCTGGTAATAAGACACATCAGAAAAGCATAAGGCAGGTCTCCCTGAGGAGAGAAGTAACCAGAATGGCCATGCCATACAACTGGGCCCGGTGCCGCGAGGTTCTGAGTACCGTTAGATGTTCCAGTGTCTCAAATTCTTTCTCAAGTCTCCTTCCAGCAGTTATTCAGTGCAACATAGGATTACACCCTTCAGGGAAAAGGACAATCCTGAGGCCTTATTTCAAAGGCCTCCCAGCATCACTCACTATTTAGCCTTGGAAAATGGTAGCCTTCCTGCAAGGACAAGTTCTAGAAAAGAACTAGATGCCTTCAGACAATGTCTTGGAGGAAGGTGGTTTGGCTTATAGTAATTCCTTCTCCTGCCCCTTTTTTCTTTTACTATTAAGTAGGTAAAACTGCTTAGTGCCGTAGACAGTGCAGGTTGTTTGTATTAAGTCAATTGATAGATCAGTGTAAGTGGGAGAAGCTGAAAATACTTCTACCCCTCATATCCTGCTTTGGTAAAAGCCTCATCTAAATGACTATGCATCATTTTCACTTAAAATGTGAAGAGAAGGATTAAAGTTTTGTAGCAAACCAAAGGTACTTAAAAGTGCTGTTAGGTTTTTTAACAGACTCAGGGGGAACTTCAGAATGTGTCCTTGTCCTAAAACCGTTTCCTTCAAACATTATTTCCTGCTCCTCTGATAGCATTTTCTATTTCCTGCTTTTTGGACCAACTCAGCTTGCAAGACACTCCATTAGGGATAGTCCTTTTTTTCAAGCCTATCATTTTAAAGGGCACTCATTGGCAGGAGGCAGAGTAGGAAGGGCATTAAGGCACCCTCTACGTGTCACAGGTATGGCACAATTAAATGGTTAATTGTGCAATTACCTTAAAAACAGTTATATGTGCAAAGTAGCTATCATATGATAAAAAGTTCTAACCAGCTATAAAGTTAGACCTTGACAATGTTATTATCTTTATAGCTGGTTGCTATCCAGCATTAATTTGCATGTGTAGCAGTCTCCCTGGAGGCTGGAAGCCCATGAGCTGACAGGGTCCCTAGCCAGAGGGGTTCACCATGCCCAGCATGAAACCCCGCCCAGGGGATTATGGGTGCTGCAATCCCCAAGGCTTGGGGGTGCATGAAACCCTCAGGCCCAGTTGGTCATGGCTGCTGTGATCCTCCAAGCCTAGGAGTGCATGGGCACCCCTGTGGCTGCGAGCCTCTTAACTGAGGGGGCTCTCAGCCATGGGAGCTTGCTTCTTGCTGGTGCAGGAAGAGCAGCAATAAGGTACAATGGGATCTAGTGTGCAATCCCACAACCACGCCTCCTGCCATGCATTAGATCCCATCATGCCTTTACCTGCATGTGTAGAGGGGGCTTGAAAAGCAGTAACCATAAACATTTTTTAATGCTAGTGCTGGATCAGAGGCAGGACATTCTGTTGGTATGTTTACTTACCTGAAAAAATGATATAAGTAATACTTAACTGCCTCCACAACAGCTACAGTGAGACTTACACAATGCCAGCACATTCTCTGAAGTTATCAAGTACAAATGGAAATTCAGATAGCTATAAATCTTATTCTCTGGTTCATGGTTTTTGCATGATGTGGCAGGTGAAGATCACAGGTGTAGAGGATGTTACACTTACCTGCTATCCTTCCAATTGGCATTGAATGTTCCTCGGGAGGGGAGACAGACACCATGATGTGGTTCATGTATGCTAGCTCCTCTCGGTGGGACAGGTTGATGGGTTTTACCTCCCTGTGCAGCCCATCCTCAGACAACCTTGATGGTTTGAAATCAGAGTGCCTGGGGTTCAATATCAAAGGGTGCATGATGGGACTAGGCATCAGCTGGATGACTCGGGTGTTCTCTTGGCGGGGGCTGGAAGGCTTCTGAAGCACTTCAGAAGGAGGTGGGCAGTGGTTGTTCTCTATAGGAGACACTGAGAGAGGGTAAGTATCCTGATGGTTGTTCTCTTGCTGATGCCTTGTTCCTGGGACCCTCTCAGCTGGGGAGAGGCGACGGATAGTGTTGTCCAATGGGGACTTCAACGGTCTCTGTTCCAGGTCTGGTGATGGCCGGTGATTGGTGGTGACAGGTGATCTAGAGCGATGCAACAGTTCAATGGTTGGGGGATTGTGATGGACTGTTTCTGTTGATGGTCTTGAAGGTCTCTGGACAAAGTTATCTGTGGAGAAAAAGTAAAAAATGTAAATTATGATGGAATCACAGGACCTGGCTCAGGGAATCTGTTTGAAAACAGTCTTCTATTGTGCTTGAGAAGGAGGGAGTGTTGTCTAATGCAGGAGGGGACTGCTTGTTAGGACATCTTGGTTCTCTTCCTGGCTCTACATATGGGTAACTTTGGACAGACAACCTACCCTCCCAGATCTTTTGAGGAAAAAAGTTATAGAAATGCAGGTTATTCTTATTCACTTACTGTTGTATTGTTTTGAAAACAGAACATAAATCTGTCCTAAGACAACATTTCTTACTGTAATTAAACAGGGTGGACTTAAAACCAATGTATACAGGTGTGAATAGTAGAAAACCAGGGAGGGTGACAAGAGATTCCATACTGGTCAGCTCAACGGGGTACTTATTAAGGGTGGAAGGCCCAGTGTTAGGCTCATCTGTACCACTTTTGTTTTTCTGCAAATTCTATAAAAGCCTGTTGCAAGTCATGCCACTGTGTGGACCCCTGTTGCTGAAACTCTTCAGGACACTGAAAATTTGGATCTGGAGAACAGATCCAAGAGGTAGAGTATCTTGGGAAGATTACTGAACATGTGGAGGTGGACCAGACCTGTGTCATGGTTCCCCACGTAACACATGATTGTCCCCATATAACACATTCTCCATTCCAAATATATCAATTCAAGACAGTACCTCATTTTCCAGGTACACTTGTGAATGGTTCCAGGTGGCTTTAAGCTGGTTTTATTGACTTGTACATTTCTCTGTTTCAAGTTTAAACTACATTTAAACTGGTCAAAGTGTTACATGTGTCCATACTGTTAAGTAATATAATCGTATAGATAAAAAGAGCCTGTTAGACTATAAAACAGACTAGGTAATCTAAGAACCTTTTCTTGCAGAAAGTTTTATCTTATATACTGTACTTGTTTTTCACTCCATTACCTACCTTAAAAAATAAATACATAAAAATACTACTACTATTACGACTAAAAAGACCTTTGGAAAATAACCTCAGTGAGATTTTTCAGCTTGGCCTAAGAAGTCTCAACTAGATAAGAAGCTTTTACAACTTTTGGGTGGGCCTATTCACTTTAGCTGTGTCCTTCTAAGATCAAGGAGAACTGAGAAAGCAGGGATTCAAAATAGCATCTGCAGGGACTGGTGACATACGCACAAACCAGAACATTACAACAAATAAAATATAAATGAATTTTGCCCGATTAAGGCCATGGCTTTCTGATTGGGAAACTACTGGCAGAGAGCAAAGGCTAACAGGTTTTTAAAACAGAGATAAAATGTCAATGCTGTTTGTCAGAAACCTCAGGTGATAACAGTTTCCTTCTCTTACATACATGTCAACAATCAAAACAGGTAAATGTGGCCATCCTACTTGTTCATTCATTTCAGTCTGTTTGATTAAAAAAAACCCCCGATTCTCTGGTTAAGGCGGCACTGCCCTTTGAAAGATCGAGTGAGGCAGAAAGGAATCTAGGGGCTTCCTGCCTGTTCTGGAATCCACGCAAGTTTGTATGAGGGTTCAGCACCTTTCCATGAAAGGGCCTGAACAAACAGGGCTCATCTGCCGGGAAGACTGGGTTCCAGCTAACACTGGCTCAGCAACCTTACACTGACCCTCTGCCCACCTACTGTCTGTTCACCTACACAACTTGCCAGCAGCTAGCAGCTTCCTTGTGAAGGTTTAGGAGGAAGCTAGATGGGTCTGAAGTTTATGATTCACATAGTTGAGGTCATAAACAAGAAAAGTATATTTGTATAACTACTTAGGTTAGTAATAACAGAACAGCAGGAGGAAGTGAAACTTCATGTCCAGGCTGTGCCCTGTCTGCATTGGCTGAACAACAGAAGTTGAACAATGGAGCTTAAAAATGAGTTTAAAGGAAGTAGTGGCCAACCAGTGTGGAAAGGCCAGTTCATGTTAGAACAGTGCTAAAAAACTATACTTTAAACTATACTTTAAAATATAGATGGATGTTCAATCTGTGTGCAAGAAGCCTCAAATCCATTTATGAAAGTATTTCCCAAACTCTTTCAACTCAGTAGCCATGTCTACACGTGCAGTGGACTGTGCAGTACCATCACTGCACGTTTTTTTCCTGGTGCTACTGCATATTAGGTCATTACTACTACACAGTACCATTGCCACACAGTTAGTGTTTGGCAACACTACTGTGCTGTAGCCACAGGCTACCATGTAGTAACTCGTGGCTACTACGCCGTAGCATCTCATGTAGGTGCGCCCAGTGACTGCTATCAACCCACTCTTTTTCACAGACCCCTATGCACACTTATCAAAATGAAAAGGGTGGGGGGGAAAGGCGAAGAGAGGATGTCCTAGTATGATCTGTAGACCATTTAACATGGCCTTGCAAACCAGTCTGGGAACCACTGCATTAAGAAAAACTTCTCTCTACCCCCATTTTAATTGCTACTGCTTTCCCCTTGCCTGGACCTAGTCATACTCCATATCCTGTTTTGAGCTGGAATACTGTTTGGAGTTTTAGGCTCTGCAATATAAGAAGCAAGTAGAGAAACTGGAGAAGATCCAGAGGCGAGTGACAAAGATGATGAAGGGGTTGGAATGCAAGCCATATGAGGAAAGTTGGAGAGAAGTATGTTTAGTTTGGACATAAGAGATTAATAGGGAACAGGACTGCAGCTCCCCATCACTGACTCTTCGCTGTCAGGGCACAGGTCTGTGTCTGTAAAAACGTGCCAATCAGATTATAATTTCTGATGAGATTTTTTTTTTAAGTGAATTCAATGCTGTGGAAAGCTGATGACTTCCATGATCCCTGTAAGGACAGGTGAGGCTCCTAAAGGAAGTGGAAAGTTGCTGGATTGTAAGTCCTGAAGGCTACAATTCTTTGCTTATCTACAAAACAGGTGCAGGCAGCAGCAGAAGCTTCATGTCATATGACTCTGCTGATTCAAAGGAACCAGTGAAGTTAAGGGCTAGGGACAGAAATTACACATAAACCAGCATAAGTGAATGGAAACCAGTTCAAATCTGTAAAACACCAGAAGTTCAGCGCACATCAACTGCTTTCAAAATAGCTGAAACCAGTTTAAGATACACCTGGATGGATGTAGTATCAGATTTAACTGATTTAGGTTAAAGCAGTCTATGGAACTTCTTTCCTAGATCCCCTCCAGATTCAAGTTAACTCACAGTCCCCCAGCATTCCAGGATGCTTTGTACCTCCCCTGCAAACCTCCTTCCCCTCTCCACCTCACAGGGTGCATGGGCTAGCCTTGGCCCAAGCTATCTGCTCCAGCCAAGCAAGAAGGCATGTGGCTGCATTTTTGGAATCAAAAGTGAATGTCTGGTCACTTGCTTATTGGTTCAATCAATGCAGTTTAGACTAACCTGCAAAGATTTAACTGATTCAGTCTTGGGCTTTTTGACTATCTGCACTTAGTGAAGAAGATCATTCAATCTCTTTTGCTTCTTTGGCCCTTGATGTCCCTATAGTGGCCCCAAGAGGATCAGAATCAGCTTTTGCCCTAGAGATGTCTACACTTGCCCACAGGGAACTGATTCATAGATTCATAGATATTAGGTCGGAAGGGACCTCAGCAGATCATTGTTTGATTTGAGACTATCAAACTCTCTTTGCATAGGTTAAAAGCTAGCATAGTTTCTGACTTTGGAGAAGAAGAGACCTGATCAGGAATACAAGAATAAACAAGCCTGAGACTAGTCCTAAACCAAGACCCCTATTGCCCCCTCTCCAGTGTGGTTAGTTATGCTGGAATGAATGCCTCAGCACACAACACAAAAAGCAGGAGTGTACAGGCAGGAGGAAAAAGAGTGGTAAACTCAGTTGTGCAAGGTCTTCCATGCAGTAATGTGAGAGAGCAAGAGGGCAGGGACAGCAAGTTAAAGTACACAGGCAGCACTCAGTACCTGCCTGGGAATGTTTGGCACAGAAAGGGCCTCTCATTGCCTAGGTTTGTGGCTGGGGATCCACGATTAAAATGCTTCTCAATTTTAATCAGCAACAAAATTGAAAAAAGAGAGAAAGATGAAGAGAGAGAAAAGGCAATTTAGTGGTTGGAAAGAAAAAGGGAGGCATGTTTTCAAAGCACTGTACTCTATGCAGACAAAATAGGGCTCATGCTAGCCCTAAAGGAAAGGATTTATTGGAATCAATCAGGTTTTGTTCAGCAAGTTGGACTGTGTTCAAACTAGATGATCACAAAAACTTGTACAATACAAATCTCGATGTGACTGGACCTTCACCTGCATCAAACCACCTTGTGACATTTTCCATAGCTCATAATGAAAACTGGATACTGACAAACTCAGGATCTTTGTTATGATCTACCACAGGTTATTAGTCTAGGCTGTTTCTGGGCAGCTGTCAGGGGCTGTTAGCTCAGTTATAAAGGAAACGCTGATTCTGGACATACATGAATCAGCTACATTTTTTTTCTTGGATGCTCAGGCACTTTAGGTCTTTCTGTTCCCACAGAAATCAATGTGAGCTTGCCCTTTATTGAGCAGACCCTTATTAATGAGAATTATGCACAGTGATCAAGTGGGGAAGAGGTCCTACTGATGACAAAGAGAATTACAGGCAATATGGGACAGTTGGTGTGGGAAACAGATTGTTAAATCCACATCTTATAAATCATAAGCCAGGCTTTAAATCACAAGCATGCTCTTACAGCTGTGACTTAGCTACACCAAAGATTCTGTCCAGAGGAACTGAGTGCTAGCGTACAAAATGTTCCAATGCTTGGGATTTACCCAATATGTTCTTCAGTACACGTTTCACAAAGGGCTCACCTGGCCCATACCCAGTTTTCCATTAAAAAAACCCAACAAAAATATTGGGTGTATATACAGAGCTTTCATTATCAGCCTTTGCTTGAATCCAGCTATACTGGGGCAGATATTTAGCATGGTAAAACTGTACTGCAGTCCTGGGCTCCTGATTCTGCCCTCCCAATGCCCTTCAGTATGGTCCTGCAGTCTCCTGTCTTAAATTTTGTAAAAGTGTGCAGCTCTTCCTAGGATGAACACGGACTAGGGTGAAATCCAAGTTCTTTTTTTAGAGTTTTGATTAAGGATGAGGAAAAACAATAGCAATAGCAGAAAAGATTCTGTCAAAACTTTTTCTGGGAGGAGAACTGGCCTTTTTTCTAAATTATATTCTTCATGGGAAATGTCAACTTTCTTCAGAAACATTTTTGTTTAATTGGAAAATGAAAGGCTTCAAAATTAAATATTTTTAGCCCTTATTTTCCAGAGAAGAAAACATGGACATTTCCCTGCTAGCTCAAAAAAGGAGTATACTCCCTTCCCACCACTCAGTATGGTGGGATGCTACATGCCTACAAAACCATAGAAGATGCCTATGCTTCATTCACCCTTTATCCTAATCATAAAATAAAATAAATTCCAATAATACAATTAAAAGTTTGTTTCTTTGCTGTCTCCAAAGAACATCTGAAGAAATCCTAGTGTTTTAGTCTTGCTGCTACTACATTGATAATATGCTAAAATCTCAAATCACTCCAGAGTCTGGATTCTGCATTTAAAAGGTATGAGTGCTTACGGCAGACTTCTCTTTCCTTACCAGTTTAAGTGGTGGCCTGGATAGTTACTTATAAAAATGGCATAATCGAAAGAGAAGCTACATTTTTTTCAAGAACAGAATTTCTCTGAAAACACAGTAATTACCAGTTTAGTTAAGCTGAGCAAAGAATCGTGCCTTCTATCAGGCCATCCGAGTCAAGACTCTAAATCTCTGAGACTGTCAGTGAAAGTGAAATCCTGAGTTGAAACTTCCTCTGAGAATATCCTGTTCTTACCCTGCCAACCTTTACATCCAGTTGATCTCCTGTGCAGTGAGTCCATGAGGCAGAGAGAGAGAGCTGTCTGCTAGACAGCTAGTATCTTGGTGTGGGAAGTGAGGGGAGGAAAGTTAATTGGCACACGTTTGCTTGCAGACTCGTGCTTATGCCCACACGCACACTCTCTCTGTCTCTCTGTCGCTCTCATTTGTAAGTGTGTGTGTATGTATAGACACCACAAAAGTCACCAGCATATTGTTTAAAGGTTATGTTGGCTATTTGGATATGGGACAAGACATCAGGGGTTAAAACAGAATTATACAAACAAAGGAATGCAACTGGAAAGCTTGAGAACTTTCAGCCACTTGGCTCGGCAGGCTACCTGAACATTTTAACAGCTAAGGAAGCTAGCTGCTCAAGTATCAAGGCTGAAAGCTAGAAAAATTATTTTCATTGGTTTTGAACAAGAAGAGAAGCCCATAACTCCTCCTCCAGGCCTCGCCCAAACTGTGCATACAAAGACGAAAGAATAACAAAAGAGACATTGTTACCTTCATCGTGGTTTTGGTGTAATATGACCTCTGGCTGAGCGTGTATAGAGTTCCCAGGGTGGAAGAAAGGTGAAAACAGCATACGAGCTTTCCTTTGCTTCAGGATATGCTGAAGTAGTTCATACAGTACGTCACCTGAAAGACAAACAGCAGGCTAAAGGAAATGAAAAGCTACATGCTGCTGGGAAGTCTCATTTAGCCATCTGATGCATGAATTCATGGCTCCCGGGTGCCATTTTCCAATCCAAAACTGCCTTCAGGAAAAACCTGCATCTTACTCACTCTTGTGTAAGGCTCCTTACTGGCAGTCAGAAAGAATTTTGCGTGTCAACAGTGTCAAAGATGAAAGAATAGGGGGTGTGAGATAAACATCAGTAAAACAGCCCTTAATGGTCTGCTATAGACTTTGCACTTCCCTACTGCCTCCCTTCTGAGGCTCTCAAAACTTCACTAATATTAGTTAATGAAGCCCCACACTTCCTTTTCTGACAGCCCCACACTTCTTCTGACAGTCTTAATTTTACTGACAGGCAAATAAGCACACAGAATGTGTTACCAACTCAAGGTCATGCAGTAAGTCAGTGGCCCAACTTGGAACAAAATCCAGCTCTCCTGACCTTTAGCACTCTCCTTTTAACCATTGTACAACACTTCCTCTCTTTGGCATCTCTATATAATGAGTTTTTATACTGGAGATGATATATCTTCCATTAACCCCCCCCCCCCACAACCCCCACCCCCCCAAAAAAAACAAAAAAACAAAACCCTTTCCCTCTCTATATTGTGGCAAGGTATTTCTGTAGTATTATGACATTTGAAGGAAATAATAGAATGCTACGTAATTTCTCCACATAAGAAATTTAGCCGGGTCACTGCCAATAAAGAACATACATGGCTGAAGTGGGCCTTAAGCTAAACTTGGATGCCTAAGTCTAGAATTCCAATTCTGATCTCTTGGGCTGATGCTGCATAATCACGGAGATGCCTAAACTCCAAAGGAATCCTCCTTTACAATTCTAGAGTTTCCCAGGTGCCATTGTGTATACCAAGAACTGCCCCATTCCTGGCAAGTCAGCATAGCTCAGTGCCTAGGTACACCTAAACCCAAATGGGATCTAGAACCTAAGTACTCCTTCATTAAAGGTACTGAAGGGCTCAGTCTCTTACAGAACACCAACAAGATTGGGCTCCCCACAAAATTCAGTGCATCAACCACGGGCAGTGGTGGAAGAGGATGTTGTGGTACCCGACTTCATAATGTTTTATTGGTTACAGCACTCTCCCAGGAACGGAAGAATGAAGAACAATTTCTCTCTCTGTCTGATGGGATTCAAATCCATAATTCTCACTTCTTAGAACGTCCTAACCACCAAGCCAGGCCATAGCCTAACGTGGAATAGGGCCCTTCCCTCACTCCTGTTGAAAATGAACCACTGGACAGATAAGTACTAGAGAGCAGGCTGTTCTTTTCCTTCCCTTCTCTTTGCCCCCACCTCCCAAATAACCTGTAACCTGTTAGTTAAGTCAATCTGCTTGCAAGTGGGAGATGTGGGTTTGAGCCCCTCAAGCAGAAGAGGGTATTAAACCCATGTCCCCCCTGGAAGATGGCAGAAGTAATGTTTTCCTGCAGCCCTAGGTAAGACATATGGGGAGCAGGATTTAAGATGTAACCAGGCTCACAAGGCTAGGCTTAAGACTAATGCTTATTTATTACCAGAACTCCAGCAAGCTGTTCCTGAGCAAACTGTCTCCAGCAAAGCCAGAGTTTTACGATTACTGTATGGTGGCTCTAAAGGAACACACCCTTACAGTTACTAGGAAACTAACTGTTTATCTAGTGGGTAATTTATTGCAGCCCTATTTTGCCTTCAGTTAAACCTCCTCCCAACCGTAGGTTGGTACCTGAGAAGGTGCACTTTGTCTTTTGGTATATGAGGCAACCATCAACCAGGTAACTAGAAAGGGTTAACCAAAACGGAAAATGCAGGTGAGTTACTCTAACTTCTCCAGGGATGTATGATTAACCTTAATAATGTCTTAATAATAATGCCATATACAGTCCTCCGCTGACCACCATTATACACACAAACAGGAGTCAACACTAGTCAAACAATGACACTGTTGAAATAGCAACCAAATTACATAGGTATTTTAATAAAGTGTGTTAACAAGAACTTTGATTTTCTAGTGGTTTTGTTTATTTCTCTAAAAACTGGGAAGCCATTCCATATTCTGTAAATCTCCAACATTTTACCTGTCAGTCAAAGTTACTATTTTTTTTCCCACTATTTCAGCTTAAGTCTTCCTCATTTCCATAGGCTTTTTGCTCTATTTCTAAATCTTTACCACTTTTGTTATGTCAGTGGTGTCCATGGGGCATTTTTAAAGGTGTCTGCAATGCCTGAAAATTTAATTAAAAATGAAGCCTCAAGAACCCAGTCACCTTTTCCATGTTTAATACATAATGAGACCAGAGAGAGAGATTTTACTACATAATTTGCATCTCGCAGGGCAAGACAGACACACACATTGTGTCATCTCATCCCAAATAAATACATCCTTAAAAATGTACCTTTTATGGTACTAGTATAATTATCTTAGTTAAGTGCGTGTGGTTTTTTTTTAAATCAAAATAGTTACATCAGTATAATCCTCAGCACAGTTATGTCAATGTAGTCACTGCTGAGTAAAATAGGGAATAATTCATTCTGCCATGAGTTCCTTTACACTGCCATAAATTCATCTACTGTAGGAAAGAGTTGTTCCTCTTTAACTGTACCAATATAGTTAGAGAGTTCACCTGAGTGTAGACATGTCCTTGAGTAACTAAATATTGTTATGGCACAAGAAGCATATTTCCTGTACTTCATATTGGAAGTACCTGGGGAAACCTGAGGTATTATTTTGTTACCTAAGGTAATCTAGAAGGTATAAGGGGAAGTTTCTACCTGGTATTGTCCTACGTGGTGTAGATTTAGCCTGTCTGAATAGGATTATATAGGGTTTATTAATGGCTACAATTATTTGCATCAGTATAAAACTGGATTCATTCTGTTCAGTAATACTAAGTCCCAACTCATAGAAAAATAGTTGGAAGGGGTAGGTGTCAAGAGGTCATCCAGTCTAACACTACTCAGGGCAGGATTGTCTGTGTATAAATTATTACAGCTGTGCGAAGCTGTGGTCCCTGATTCGATTTGGCAGAGATTTGGCCTGATTTGGTGGCCCGAATCTCTGAACCCGAATCGAAACAAGAGGATCGTTTAATCTCTCCAAATCCAATTGGAATCCTCTGAATCAATTTGGAGAGATTCGGAAAGATTTGGCGATTTAGACATAGATACAGTTTTAAATGTTTTTTCTACATATCTCAAGGTAACAGGTGGCTCATGAATGCTGCGGTGCTGGGGCAGATGCAGCATCCCTCAGAAGCACGGGGAGAGTCACCAGCATGCTTGGCAGCAGACCCAGAAGTGAACCAGAAGCGTTTCCAGTTCACTTCTGGGTCCGCTGGCAGAGTGCATAGGGGACCCCCCTGTGCCTCCCTCGCTTGGTGACTGGTGTCTTTCGGGTCTGGGGGGGCACTCAGGGTCCCTCTGCAGCTAATCCCCGAGCCAGAGGGCTGCCCACATGCTCCCTGATGAACCTGGAGGTGGACCGGAATTACTTCCGGTCCACTTCTGGGTTCACTGATGAGCACGTGGAGGGCCCCCCTGTGCTCCTGTGGGACACTGCATCCACCCCAGCATCACAGCGTTCATAAGCCGGGCTGGTACCTCGAGGCACGTAGAAAAAACATTTAAAGCTGTGCCTATGGCCGAATCGCTGATTTTCTGACTCAGCATCGAATCTTCAGATTTGGATTTGGCCCATTCGAATCAGGGACAGTAATATGAATCAACAAATTGAATCACTGTCCCTGACTTGGGTTGAATCTGAATCTGAATCTAATAGGGCCCGCTTCACACACCCCTATAAATTACCCCAGCCAAGCGTTTGTCTAATCTGAATTTAACAATTTCCAATTATGGAAATTACATGGTCTCCCTGGGTAATCTGTTCATACCCTTCCCCAGACTTAACCACCCTCATAGAAAATTCTTCCTAATTTCCAACCTTTATTGTAATTTAAGCCCATTGCTTCTTGCCCTGTTATCAGTGAACACAGACAGTAGTCAATCACCATCCTCTTTATAATAATAATCCCGCTTTGTATTCAAAGACTATTAACCAATTTCCCCTCAGTCTTCTCTTCTCCATAATGAATAATCCTCATTCTTTCAATCTATTCTTAGAAATTATGTTTTCAGAAAGCTACTTGTTTTGTTTGCTCTCCTCAGGAATCTTTCTAGTTTGTTCACTGGGTGACCCTGGTGCTAAAAAGAGTGAAAAAATTATTACCCGTGTGATGCACACAACACTCCTGTTAATACAGCCCAGGATACTACTTGTTTTTTTGTTTTAGTTTGTTTAATTTTTGCAGCATTATTACACTGTTAAGTCATATTCAGTGCACAGTTCACTGTAACTCTCAGGTCCTTTTCTGCAGTAGTGCAGTTGACACAGTTGCCTCCCATTTTATATTTGTTCCTGCTTGACTGTAGCACTTTGCACTTGTCCTTATTGAATTTCATGCAATTTATTTCAGACCCTCTGCCCAATTCTTCAAGGCCATTTTGAATTCTAATTCTTTCCCCTAACGCAGTACACCCTGTCCAGTTTGGTGTAATCTGTGAGTCCGCTAAGCACACATACAGTCTGTCCTCCAAAACATTAACTAAGATATTGAGCAGTACCAAGCTTACGACAGACTCCTAGGGAACCTCACCTGACACCTCCTCCCATTTTGACACTGAGCCACTGATGACTATATTTTGAAACTGATTATCCAACCAGTTATGCACTCACCTTATAGTAACTTCATGTAGACTAATTTCCTCAGGTTACTTAGGAGAATGTTACCAGAGACAATGCCATAAACCTTGCTACAGAGGATATCACTGTTCTTCCTGCATTCACAAAGCCTGTCACCTTCTCATGGAAGGAAATCAGGTTAGTTAAACATGACTTGATCTTGACAAATCTATGTTGGTTGTTCCTAATCACCTTGTTATCCTTTGCATCAGCATGTGGCCCATGAGTAGTTAAATCACAGCCTGAAGGGGCAGAAATTCTGCAGTGGGGCAGGTGGCAGTGGTGTTAACCCCATGGCTGCCAGAGGTGTATTGGCGGGGCCAGCACCTGGGAGGCTAACAGTGCTGCAGCTTGCCCTGCTGCAGACTTTCTGAGTTGAAATCCCCATTGGGGATATCATTTGGCAGTGGGAGGGTAAGTGGTGGCGGTGGCATTAAACTCATAGGTACTGCTTTCCATGATGTTGAATTCCCAGGTCAAGGTCCCCATTGGGACTCCATTGTCTTTTGGTGGCAAGGCAAGGGATGGCAGCATGGTCAGCATGTGGGGTTTAACACTACCTCTGCTGCTACCTGAGGTGCATCTTCCAGTCCACCAGAGGCCCCATGGTAGAGATTTGTTCTGCCAAATGAAATGAGCTGGATAACCCTGCTCTAAGTGCTTAAAAACAGATACCTTAATGATATGCTCCAGCATCTTTAGACTGAATTAGACTGCCCACTCTGTAATTTTCTAAGTCCTTTTTTTAAAAGATGGGCACTATATTTGCCTTTTAACAGTTTCCTGAGACCTTACCTGACTCCCTTGAGTTCTCAGAGACTAACTAGTGGCTCTACAGTTACTTCAGCTGGTTCCAGGTATTCTCTAGGATGTCTCATTTGATGCTGCTCTTTTGAAAACACCCACCTTATTTAAGTCATCTCTAACCTGTTCTTTTGCCATAGTAGATTGATTATCTACCCCCCTGGGCTTGCTCCTGACTGTTTATCATCAGCTATTTGACCTTCTTTGTAAAGACTGAGTTAAAAAATGCATTAAACACTTCAGCTTTCTCTGCATGGTCCATTGCTTTCCTTCTCTATTCAGCATGTGACATTCAGCTAAACGGAAGCTTACATCACAGTAGAGGATGTGAATTCCAGAACTAAAGCCTTCTCTCTGAAAATGCCCTGTCCACTGCCCACCAATGTTTAGATGGCAATATCAAGCATGAGTAGGGTTAAGGAAATCCAGGATGGGGAGGCACTGCCACCGTCATGCATGTACGTACACACACACACACACACACCCTCCTCACAACCCGTTGCTCCCAGGAGCCCTGATGACAGGACAGGACAGGACAGGGTGGGACAGTGCGTAGGCCCACAGCTGAGCTCCATCCCCATGTGCAGAGGCTGGACCTCGCTGGGAATAACCTCCCCCCCTCCCTGCAATGGCTGCCCAGGGCCGCAATGTAGAACCCGGGCCTCTGCAGTGGCTGCAGCAGCAGGGCAAAAGGCTGCTGGCAGTGGGTGACCATCCTATCTTGCCCTACGCAGGTGCCCAAGCCCTGCCCCTGGCCCCGGCCCTGGCCCTGTCCTCCCAGGCACTGCAAGACATATCGTCACCCTAAGCATGGTACATGCTAAGTATAAAACAACTAGTGCTAGGGATAGAGAAGAAAATATACTTGCAGTATAACAGTGGGTACTTCATACAAGGCACCAAAAAGTTGTTTCATTCAACCCCTGTGTGTATGTGTGCTTGTGTGTATACACACACACACACACACACACACACACACCCCGGATGGGGGAAACAACTTTTTTTTGGTGCTCTGTATGAAGTATCCACTGTTATGCTGCAAGTATCTTTTGGGCCCAACACCTAGTGCTAATTGTTTTATATTTAGCATGAACTTAGCATGTGTGTGTGTATGTGTGTGTGCATGTGTGTACATACATACACACACTTGTGTGTGTGTATTAACGTCAATGGGATTTAAACATATGCAAAAGTGTTTTGCTGTGCAGGTATAGACATAAGTTTATGCTTAAATGCTCTCTCCTTGTGGCACATTATAGGGCTTATCTTTCAGCAAGTGCTTTGTGGCTATGCAAGAGACATTATGGTGACTTTCTTCTGGACAAACAGTTGGCTGCAAATGCAGGGGGCTAGACTTACTGGTCTAGTAGGCCCATTCCAGCCCCATGGTTTTTTTGAACCATGGCCTACATGCACAGGTCCTTGGTGAGGAGTCACAAAGGTGGCTTGGCAGAGACCTACTCCACAGCCTAGTTGGTCAGGAACAAAGCAATGCAATGCCAACTGTATTCCTGCAACTAACACTGGCAGTCTGATAACCATTATCTTCCAGGTACTTGGTCCAAACTGTTTGATCATCTCTGGTAGCTTGATGAATTACAGGCTTCTACATTTAACAGGAGTACTCTGAATGGTTGCGAGAAGAAAGCTCTTATTAGAGCCAATAATTCAAACTCAATTAAACATCCCCAACACAGGAGGGTGGAGGCTCATTGTTGCTGCAATACTGAAAAACATAGGCTGCACGGGATATAAATACAGACAGGCAACATTAACATTTCTAAATTTTCTATGCAAATAAATAAAGGTAAAATTTGGGCAACAGTCTGATTGATTCACACACCTGGCTCTGCTTTGCCTTGGGCTGGACACTAACATGTGATTGAGCATGGGCAAAATTAAGAAAAAAGCCCACTGGGGGCTGTAAAATAGAGGAAAGGTCCCTGTGGGATAAGTTTTGCCATAGCTTTTTAGCAGCACATTAGCTGAGCCAACCGTGAGGCAGAATGCTAATGTGGGCTGCTGAGGCTGGAGCATTTGATTAGCTCAGTCGAGCAGCTGGGCCTGTGCGATGCTGAGCCTTTAAAAGACAGAGCTGGAAGTTCCACGTTGGTGCCAGGTGGAGACTTTTCCTTCCCTGGTGTTACCTCGACACAGACTAAATTTGGATTTCAACTCTCCTGAAATTCAGGATCTCCTTCCTCTGCTTTTCTTCTTCTACTGGATGCCTCTCTCTCCCTTTTTTCTCCCATCTGTCTCTTCATTGTCTCCCCAACACAGCCTAAGAGCAGATCTATACTGCCTCAGTACTGTACTAAGGAGTGAGACAGGCTGCTCCTGCTGCTCTTGTCTCTCAGTCTGTGTTTAGCTCCATACCGAGGCAGCCCTTTTACCAGGACTTCTGTATCAGGAGTAGGCATCGTGGCCCTTGCACAGTACTGAGGCAGTGTAGATGTAAGCGGCTCCCTCCCTGCCCAGACTCTCATGGCATTTTTTTCCTGATGCCTCAGCATGCGTGGCTCCATCCTTCCTTCTGTAGGTAAACCTCACCTGAATGAGGAGACCTGTATCGAAAGTCCTCTTTGGTCAGCAGCAGGAGAGCTTTGCCATTCATCTCAAAAGTGTTGCTGTCAATTGGCCTCAAGGAAAACTCCTTCTCTGCCCACTTGAGCCACTGAGCCACATCTTCTCTGCTCCAGTAAACTGGCTGCAAACCTATGGGGAGACAGAGAAAGCATATTTATGTTAAGGAACAGGAACAAAACACATTGGATTCTGGGGAAGTATTAGTGAATAATCACCAGCAGCACTTGTATGCAGAACCTGATACTGATGGTGGAGGAAGTGTCAGGATGATATAAGCCCAAATATCTTACCAAAGTACTCCATAATTAATAAGCTATACTGGTATGATCATGTCCACACTCCGGGGTTCTATAGCTCTAAGTATCCTGTATTGTTTATTCATAGTGATGAACTGATGCTGTAGCCATGAAGATCCAGGAATTATGTAAGCAGCAAGTATTTTTGCAGCTGATATCTTCCATTGGACAAACTGCCCGGTTGGGATTAATGGCATTAATGCCCTACATTTGAAAGCTTCTCTAACAAACACAAGGTATTAATACCATTAATCCCAAACATACAGTTGGCCCAAGAAAATATATCACACAAAAATCCTTGTCTCTCTGTAAGAGAACAGCAGCGCAACTTTTTAGGGCCTTAGACAAAGCAGTTACGTTTGAACATGGAGCCTGCTCTTGCTGTCAGTAAAGCCAAAGGCATTTTGCCCTCTGACTTCATTGGGCACAGGATGAAATCTGGGATATGAGTTTTAATATGAGTTTTATACACAGTTTTAAAATAGCTTCCTTTCCCAGGAAAGGAGGCAGCATAGTGAAGAGCTGTTTATACCTAGACAGGTAGGTGGACAGATTATCTGCTATTCACTAATAGATTAAAGTTCCCTTTCCTGTCCCCCTTGTAAGATGACTCATTGTTTGACTTGCTACACCTGTTATGCATAAATGAAAGATTCACACTGTGCATAGGAACATAAAATTTGCCATATCTGATCAGATCTTTTGTACACAGCCTCTGGCACTGGCTAATATCTTATGCTTCAGAGGAAAATGAACCTCTCTTCCTCATATTGCACCTGGCTGATTGTATGCTGTTGCACATGGAAAAAATACCTCTTTCCGGCACCCTGTTTTATGAGATTTGATTACCTCTATCTTTGCAAGCATAACTACAAAAATTCTAGGTTTTTAACATATATTTGCAACCTGTTTTTGAGTTTAAACAAAGTGACGGGTAGTGAATATTTAAGATCCAGATTCTCAGTCAGCTGCTATTTGGAAAGCCCCTGTGCTAAATTACATACAGAACTGAATCTGAGTCAGGAGGAGAATTGAGAGTAAACTTCTGGGGATTCAGATGAGAACATACTTGACCTCAGGAAGGGAAAGGAGAGGACTTATATGAACAGTGGTCTCCTTAGCAGAAGGACATCTTGTTAAATGTGTCTTCATTTCTAATGTTCACCCTAAATTTTACAGTAAGTGCCACGCTAACAAACGACAACCCCCTCAGTACTAGAATTTGCATCTAATTACTCCTGCAAGAGGACCCAACCTCTCTATATGCTTTCATTTTACCCGCTGGCTGCAATGGGACTGGTGGGGTGAGTGTTTCCTGTAGGTCCATTCTGTGGAGAAGGTGCGTGCAAGGTGAGCATTGTGCTCTAAAACAGCAGTTTTCAACCCTTGGGTCGCATCCCAAAAATGGCTGCAAGAATATTTCAAAGGGTCACAAGTTGTGGCAGGGCAGTGGCAGGCAGAAAGGCAGTGAGAGTATCCAATTCTTTAAAATTTATTATTTTGACTATCATTTAAACTAGTCTTTCCAGAGTTAACAGGCTAGTGGAGTGAACTTTTACAGCTCTAAAGCCTATTGCCACTATTATTTGTGGGTAGATACTGTAGAGTATAATTTTGTTTCTGACAGGCAGAACAAGAACTTGCCATCTTTAATCATCAGTGGAAATTTGGTAACACAGAAATCCAACTGGAGTTTTGAATTAGAGTATAGAAAATTAAGCAAAACACACCCTTCTCAACTGCCCTTCATCCCATGCTAAAAAGTCGTAGCTTTACTGAAAAAAAATAGTATAGACCCTTCATTTTATGGAGTGGCATATTATAATTTCATGGGGCCAACACATTTGTTAATCCCCTTCCAGATGTGGAGCAGAGCTTTCTAAATGTTGGCGTGTGGAACTGTGGATGTAGTCTGTTCGACTAGATATCCTGTGAAATACTGTTCTGTCTGCAGATGCTTGTGTTAGGATAATCAGGCTGAACACAGTTCAGTATTGTGTACAGATCAAGACAAACCTTGTTCTTTGACTGTGCTGGCAAGCGTGCAACAATGTAACGATTCACAGTGGGGAGGAGCTTTTTGTTCAGTTCTTGCCCCTTTTCTTTTTCCCTACCAAGTTTTTTCTCAATTCCTCTCTTGCTGAATCTAGCTTCTAACTTAGGGTCTGTGGCATCTCTAAAGCTTCTGGGGGGAGACTGCTGAGTAATTGAAAAGAAAAAAACCCTCAGAAAAACAGCGTGGTTTGGAGGAATCAGTACTTGGGTGGGAATCTGGTGGTTCTGCATTCTAGGCCTGGCTTTGACACTGACCTGGTGTGAGGCTTTGGGTAAATCACTTTGCCTTTCTCATTCAGTTCTACCATTGACAAAATCAAGATAATAATACTAACCCATACTCCCCAATGGGGTTGAAAGGATAAATATCTTACCAGCCTTTTAAACATATAAAGTTATATGCAAGACTGCAAAATAAGTAACCCCCTTCTGTTGGGCTTCTCTCTCTCTTCATCCCTCCTTGCCTTCCTGTGGAAATAGTTTCCACAGGATTTGCAATGCTTTGCACCACTCGGTTTTGCAATGCTGCATCAATTCACTCCAGGGAGGATTTTTGTAGAGGTGCAGACTGACAGAGATACATACTTCTCATGGAAAACTCCATACAGAACTAATTCTGCCCTGTACAGTGTCATTTATTCTCTATGTGTCTCTTTTCCTTAATTCTTTTTCTTAAACAGGTAGGTAACTGCATGAGGACAAGGGAGTCAAGGGCTTTTAAGGTTCAGAGGAAACAGGTCTAAAGACCCAGTGATACTTTGTGAAAACGTTAATCACATTCTCCGTGATATAAATTAACCCTACTTGTGGGGTTTTTTGGATAATTTGCTGTATATTTTCTCTGAGCCTTCTCCCATTAATTCTATAGAAACAGGGACTTGTTAGGAAAAGATTCTCCCTGCCCCTTTTTATTCTTAATAAAAGTTGCTTACTGAATTATCCTAAAGTAATAGAATCCTTTTCAGAACCAAATAAACACAAGGACTGCGCAGTGAGGGCCAAGTTCTGCCTGATCACACATCTGCTGACATCACTGGAGAGACTTCACTGATTTTAACAGGCACTGACCAGGCACATTGTGCAAGGCCTTTCTCCTTGAAAATTCCCAGTGACGTCAGTGAATCTACTTGCAGAGACAGCATGGAAAAGTGGCTAGAGCAATGCCTTGAGACTCCAAAGACCTGGAATCTATTCAGCTGTGCCACTGCGTTATTGGATAATCTTGGGCAAATCACTGCCCCTCCCTAAAGTGCCTTGAGATAAATGGCAAGAAAAGGGCTGTATAAAAGATAGTATTATTATTATTACTCCAGATAGGGAAAGCAGACAGCTCAGAGAGACTGCATCATGTGGGGCACTCTTATCATGTAAGATACTTCATCATATGTCTTTTGTCAGCCTCCAAGCATTAGCTTCAATAGAACGAAATCCAGTTATTTACAGTGCTGTTAATAATCTCAAGCATTTTACACATTAAGTAGAGAGAAAAATACACACTTGTCTTTCTAATATTGCAGGCTGGATCTTGGTATCTTAATAGACCATTTACTCATGTTACTTATTCTTCCCCTGAAGTGCCATTTTTGACATTTGTTACACTAGCTGGGATAAAAATGGTGAAGGTGATCAATTCTCATGCTTCAGGGCACAAGCCGATAACCATCTGGAGTCGAGAAGAAATCCCTGCTCCTATATATTGTAGCTTTGTAAAAATAAGCACAACGAAAAGAGACTGGTGGGGTGGTTTACACCTTTCTCTGAAGCAGCCAGCATAAACAGCAAGAGAAAATCACATGTGCGCTGTTACAGAGCAAACTGGTATTACAATGCAACGCTTTCAAGGTTTTCTATGTCACAACGGCAGGTCCCTAAACAAGCATCTGCTCTGGACACTAAAACAGATTTGTGCTGCACAGGATCTCTGACAATTTATAGATTTTTAAAACCAAAAGGAACCATTTTGATCATCTAAACTGCCCTCCTGCAGTTAACTGAATTTCATCCAGTAATTCCTGCATCTAGCCATAACCTCCGGTTGAGTTACAGAATGCCTTTAGAAAGACGTCTCTGATCCTGATCCTGGCAATACTAGCAACTAGACGCCCCTTTCTCTTAGGCAGGAAAGACGTGCATTTCAGACGTGTGGCATTGTATGTGGTAAATCATGTACATAACATACATCTCAAATATATACCCAAAGTCTAATTTACAGTATGAAACAAAGCTGCTTTCACATGTGTTTCATTATGAATCAACCTGGAGATCTAAGTCCAAAATGAGGTCCAACATACAGTATGAAAAAAGCTGTTTTTGCATTCGTTTCAATGAGTCAATATCTGATGTCGCAAGCATGATATAAAAACCATTTGCCACTTGATCATCATTCCTGCGTTACATACCTATATTTTTGTTCCAGTTATGCTTGAAGATTCCAGCCTCATGCCTAATTCCTTATAAGGATTACAAAGAGGAGAGAAGGGGGAGGAAAATAAAGACGCCCTAGTCATTCATCCCTTTCCAGAGGGCAGATAGAACTGTTTTCACTCCCATGATGAAAATTACTACTCACAGTTGGGCAAAGAGCAAAAAAAGCAGCATGGGCAAATCAACAGCTCAGTGTTGTACACCCAGGGACCTAAACAGTATCATGCAAAGGAGACCTGATTACCAGGCATCACACCATCTAACAGTGGGAAACATGTCCTACAAATGTTCACAAAAAGCAAATGTTGGCTGCTGACTGGTCCATCCTAGACAGAAGCAGATATTCACTTTAGG